GAATCCTTAAAGCTGAATTTAGAATTTAGATTATTTAATCTCTCTATGAAGCATAATACTTGCTTTTCAATCTGAACTGAAGAAAATATAATCTCTGCTTTTAATATTTTTTAAATACTATTTTGAATTTGTTATCCAAGTTAAATAGTTTGTAGTATTAATTTCCTCTTTATTTTACCATAACTAATGGAGCTAGCAAATGTATTTGCTATATGAAGTTTTAGGTGTTAGTGTAAGGGGAAAGAAATAATCATGTAAGTTAGTTTTCTTCCACTTCATTTACATAAATTGGTTATTGTTAAAAAGGCACCCAACTTTATTCTTACTGAAGAGTTGGTCCTCTGCCCTTCATTGTAGAGACTGTGTGCTCTAGTTCTGTGTAATTGGGTAGAAGTAAACACTAGAAGCTGTCTCCATCTAATTTGACAGCTTGCTGCTGTTACCCTTGTCTGCTCTTAGAAAATAATTTCCTAGTTGCAGTCAGTGTCAGTAAGAAGTCCCTTCTTCAGCAGGCAGTGACAATACCAACTAACAGTGCAATGAGGAAAACCAATTATAATACTTTGTAGCAAACTAGATAAAGAAGCCATATTTCCTTCAAAGAAAAAGATTCAGTAAAACATTCTTTGCGATTATTATTAATATTTTTGTATTACTAGTGATGACTGGAGACCAAAGGAGAAGAAATATTTTGAGGTATAGCATTCTTCAAATATACTTATTGTTAGGAGCTTACATTATGCTGGGAAGAAGCTAGTTTCTCCTCTAACACCTCTAGAACTTTGGTTTCACATATAGCTATCGCTCTGACAAACAACTCATCATTCAGCTCACATTTTTTGTATGTCCTAAATAGAGCAGTGTGTGTACTAACAACCACCACATTGAGCATTTGGGATTTCAGTGTTTTGGTGCATATATTTGTTTTTTTTATGCCCAGCTTGGAAGTAAAACTCCGTCTCTTCTTTGGCCTAATGGCCCAAAATATTACTCTACAAAGTAATTCTTTCTTATTCATTTGGTTTATTTAATTTCAATAATAATAAAATAATTCTAAAAGTGGTGCAGTCCTATTTGTATAACATTTTACTGAATAGAAAATTTTGGATTTTTAAAAACAAGGCTTAAGAGGGAAAGGGATTTCAGTGCACAGGCTGCCATATAAGCCAGCAGATTTTCAAAGTATAAAGCATACTGACAATTACGCTTAAAAGTTTTGCATATTATCATCGATAAGACAAACCAGTGATATGAGCAATTCTGCTAATGAGCTCTACCTTAGTCTTTGAACAAACCACTTTAAACTCAATTTTTCCCTCTAGAATGGAACTTGTAAGACATTATTGTAAGAGATTGGATTTTTATTTATTTATTTGTTTGTTTGTTTAAATTTTGGTGATCCAAGAAGATTTATATTAAAACTTCTCCATATTTAGGGTAGTGTAATATCCGTCCTAAGGTAGTGGATGAATACATGTCGGGATATATAGTCATTATGGTGATTCTTGACATACTTTTTAGTCAACTAGTTGGTCATTAGTAAGTTGTTTGGGAAACAACTATAGTTATCTAGAGCATTTGAGCATGCTACAGGCAGCCTGGCCTCACCAAAACAGTCTGGTTATGCCAAATATGCTGGAGAGCTGAAGGAAAATGGTTTACAGTTCAGGTTAAAGTCTGAATTTGTTCTCCAGTGACAGTGTTCTCTCTTTCAGTTCTTCAGTAGTGCTGTAATTTCCTCTGAAAACCAAGTCACTGTGGGATATGTGCTTCTCCTTCCGCAGGATATGAAAAAGCCTGATATTCTTCCTTTTTATCTATGTAAAGGTCTGGAAACAGGTTTTCACCCCCCCCCCCCCCCCTTTTTTTTTCCCCTTGGAGTATAGTCCAACAGCATCTCTAATCTGTGAATCTTAAATTTCAGGGGGATAGGAAAAGAAATTTTTATTAACTACCAGCTAGACTTTTTAAAGATACAAACAATTTTGAGACATGGACTCATCAGACTGTTATTTCTTCCCCTGCCTTCCATGAGGTGCTCTGCAAAATCATTCAACAAGCTCATCTGGGCTGAAAACTACAGTGCAAAAAATCCCCGGCCCTGGTGAAGGAGGAAATAGCTTTGGAAAGATGAATTTTTTGTAGCATATCAAGTAAAATGGCTTGTTTGGTATTTTCTTTGCCAGAAAATGATAGATTTTCTTTTCTAGTTTGCTAAAGGATGAGCCTTCAACCCGTGTTTGTGTGGTGGAACGATCCTGCTTTGTTTTTCCAGAGGGAAAGAGTTACTTTTAATTAGAGGAAAATGAGATTATCTGGACTGATTCTTAAGCTTAGCATGTTTAAATGCATTAGATAGTCATCCCATTATTTCATTATTTTGCCTTTTTTTTTCAAAATATGTCAACTCTGAAAAATTTCTTTTTATGTAGAGATTTTTTTCCCATGAGTTGCATGACTTTAATTTCCTATCTGTAATGGATTTCATATCAGTACATATTGAGGTCACCTTACATAAATCTGGTAGAGAAACTAATCCTTGATGTGGACAGAACAGTAATCTACATATATACCAGTTCTCTTAGTGTAAAATCCCAGTGTAGATAGATAAATACAAGTATTTTATGAAGATTTTAAATACCCCTCCTTTGTAACAGGGAATTTTGTTGACAGTTAAAGTGTCATCATTGCCAACCGTCATGCATCCAAAAAGTAAATGGTGGCTGATGCAATTATAGTATGCATAAAAGGCTTGCATTTAGTTTTGTTTTAAATTACAGAAAAGATCACAAAATAGAATGACTGAGTTCTCAATGCCATTCCCTTCTCTTTTGTTGAATGTTCTGGCACAATGAACTTTTCTTTGAGGTCTTAAAATACAAAAGGTATTTGGAATATGGACTATTAAAGATGCTGGTTAATAGTTGCAGTGTCTTTAATTAGTATCACTGCTGACAAAATATGAAGGAGGTAATTTTATGACCCACCTTCCTTCCTACCACCTATATTTCCATACCAGTGGGGATATGTATTGTCTGGCAAAGCTTCACAGGCTCTGACTTGCCTTTATAAGTGATTTAAAACAAAACAAACAAACCCATACAACTTGAAGTGTTGTGAAAAGCCTGTTTCCTGGATATGCAGTAATTTGCCTTTTCCAAGTCTGATACATATTGTTTGAGCACATCCGAAGATTTTCTTGGTTTGACAAACCTGAGCACTGATTTTCCCCTCCCTATGGCTCCTGTCATGTTTCCAGGACACTGTCCTCTCTGTTCCCTTTTTCTGGAAAGAAGCCAACAATGATCCATCTACTTTTCACTTTGAGGATCAGGGCTGACGTTTCAGTTCGCCCTACCATTGGTGCAGGAGGCTAGCTTACAGTTCGTCACTTTGGACATAAGTGATAATTTTGAATGTATCATAGATAATGGTTTTTAGAACCATGCCTGCTGTTTAAAAAGTTACATAATTTGACAGATTTAGTCCACATACTCCTTGCTTGAGTCAGTTTGGACCTCTGAAGAGTTCCTCAGAGTCAGTCCTGGGATGACTGGGGTGCCTAGAGATGTACTCTTGTTTCATTTATATTCTTCTGCTCCTTTGTCCTCATTTTGTTTTCTTGCATAATTTAGATCCATGGACTCTACAAAAAATATGGTTCCCTATGACATGAGACTTCTGGGTCAGCACTGTTCTCAGCTCTGTTCCTGACCACTGTGAAGTTTTGTGGAATAGGAACTTTGTGGCAGTAATAGCTTATGGTGTTCATACATGTGCGGTGCAAAGGTGTGATCGGGCTCTGACTGAACAGAACAGTAACTAAATTAGATGTTAGGGGCACTGTGATCTCCTTTTTCTCTTTTTTCCCCTACCCTGGATCAGTTTAGTTTTCTGATTCGTACCATAGCCTTCCCAAAAATCATTTTAGCATGAGGAAGTGTGTGGCAGAACTGAATGGCCTGGGGGTGCTAGGTGCGGAAATTCCTTAAAATAGTGATTCCACCAGAGCCACTGTGTCATGAAACATTGCCCTGAAGTAATCTCTGACAGTTATCTTCTTTGACAGTGGGATTTCCATTGAAATAAAATATAATCTATGTTTATCAGTCTTTCGTTATTACCTTTCTGTCAGATGAAAAGCTATTTCCTCGTGCACTGAAGTGTGCCAAAAGAGCTCAGGAAGAAGAAAATCGTTGTATTCTTAACAAGTCTGTGATCTTGCAGTAAGTAGCTTTATCTTAATCAGACTGTCTTTGTCAGAGTTGCAACATTAAACAGAACGAAGTTGTACAAAGACTGGGAAATGAGAGGACGTATCCAAAACAATGTGTGTGTTGGTGGTTTTTTATTTGTTTATCTGAGTGCCATGATCACAGTGGAGTTGGATCAAGGAGTGGACTTGATGATCTCGGAGGTCTCTTCCAACCCAGTTAATTTCTATGATTCTATGATTTATAGAAAGCACCTACGACATTGCAGTTAGGTTGTGATTTCTGGTTTGAAGCTTTTTAGAGGTTTTGCAGTATCAGCACTGGACTGAATCTGGTTTACAGGACAGGTTTGTCTGTAGTATTGTCTTTCTGTTAAGGGAGAATTGGAAGGCTGTACGTGTAGCATGCTGGCTGCACAGAGGCAGCTCTTGAGAGATATGAGATGGTACCACTGTCAGAGAAATGAGTGGTTGGGAAGCATGTTTCTTTCTGAATTTGTCTGTTGACTAGTACTGGGTGAGGGCTGTGCTGTTAAAAGTTTCTGTTGTGTTTCCCTGAAAATATTTTACTTAACTAAAAACAGTAAGGAAGTTACTTGATCCTGTGACACCTCAAACAAAGGCACTGATGAGAATTTCTTCACACTGTAATCTGTCAGGGTGTATAGGAGAAGTGTGAGTTTATGGTGAGTTAAGTATACTCACATACTTTTCATTGATGGCTCACTTTACTATTCAGCCAGATGGTGGAGCACTCACACACTTGGGACTAGGTTCATCAAAGTTGATTGGATTACCAAAATCTACAAGTATGTCCTAGGCAGAATGAGGAGTCCACGCTCTAGACTAAACAGGGTAAATGGTGAAGCCAAAGAACACTTTAACAGCTGTTCAGTCTCATCTCTCAGGTTCATTGAACTGAGTCACTGTGCTATCCTTTGAGGAGGAAAAGTTATTTTTTTATAACATAGCAAGTGAAGTGGGTATATCAGGCAGTGATGCTGAGCAGTAGAGAGTCATGCACTGGTACACATTTGCATCAGGGTTTCAGAACTAAGAAACAAAACTGAAGCACTGCCTGCCAAAAGTGAGTTGGTTAGTACCCGTGCTGACATGATGTTGGACAGCTTTCAGAGCACTGCAGAGTTTTCAATTCTGTTTTTCTTTCACCTGCTTTCATTACAAAAGCCCTGCAGTTGATCAACAAATGAACTGTTGAACAAACAATATAAATAAGTCTGTCTCAACATTACCACATAGCCACTGATATAAAAAAAAAAATAAAATCAATGTGCAAAGTAGATCAAGCTCATAAATTATGTGTATATAGAAACCATTTATCTGACCAAGAGACAGGAAACAGGGCAGTTTCGTGGTTGAGTTAGCAAAATGGAGTAACTTGATCAAAATGTTCTATTAACAAGTGAAGTTTTTAAAGGATATTTATTGCAAATGATATGCATGATTTTATGACATATTTTAAAAAAACCCACATTATTTCTGTGAAATGACAGGAAAAATATAAATACCTTGTAGAAACCATCATACAGAACTTAGGCAAAACCTGTTTCACTTTTAAAGTAGTAATCTGTAGCATTTAAATGAACTTTTCCATTCTCAAACTCCTTAAAAACCATTATTTTATTACATTTCTGAGTATCTTTGTGATAAGTAGTAGCTCTGTATTATAGAAAAACTGTTTTAGATGTTGAGATCTCATATTTTTTTCGAGTGTGCAACTGAACTTTCAGAGATTTATTGGGAGAAACCAGTCTGCTCTATCAACCCTTGGAAGGAAAAACTCATCAGTTGCTAATGCATCTAACTTTTCAACAAAAAGGAGCAATTGTTATCTTTATAACTATGGTTATAAACCTTTCAAATGTCAGAAATATAACTGGTGCTGTGCTGCTTCTTCACACTTATCCAACAAGGTAGTTTGGAATATCTGGATATTGGATACTTGTTTACCTCTGTTGCAAGTATCTGCCTTTACTTTTTTTTATTCCCAGTAGGTAGAATTTTCCATTTACAGACCTTGGTCTTAATGTTTCAGCATATGTCTCATGAAGTAGATCACGCTCAGAAGTCCTCAAAAGACTCAAAGAAATGGCAAATTTTCCCACTTTTTTTTTTTTTTTTTGTTAATAATTTTACTTTAAGTAATCAGATACTTTGTATGTTTTGTGTATTATGAATTTCAACCCTTTAACAGAAGTTAAGAATATAGATCAAAATATAAAATGCATAGAAAAAGATCAACCTCCCAACGAAGTTTAGACTGTAAGTAATGTAGTTTACTTGGCCCTAATTTTGTGAGAATACTAACTATGTGGGGAAATATTCCTTACATTTCTCTTCTGTATTGCAAGAACAGTCACAGTATATGCTGAGTTGGAACCTACATGGATCATCGAGTCCAACCCTTAGCCCTGCACAGGACCATCCCCAAGAGTAATACCGTGTGCCTGAGAGAATTGTCCAAACGCTTCATGAACTCTGTCAGGCTTGGTGCTGTGACCACTTCCCTGGGGAGCATATTCCAGGGCCCAACCACCATTGGGGTCAAGATCCTTTTTCTAATATCCAACCTAAACCTCCCCTGACACAACTGCAGCCCATTCCCTCGGATCCTGTCACTGGTCACCACAGAGAAGAGATCAGTGCCTGCCCCCCGCTCTTCTACTCATGAGAAAGTTGTAACTGCAATGAGGTCTCTCCTCAGTCTTCTCCAAGTTGAACAGACCGCGTGACCTCAGCTGCTCCCTTACTTCCATAAGGTTATTTTAGTTCTTTCAGATGTGATTCCATTACTCTGGTAACAACTTCAGTAAGTAAAGTAATCAAACCCTGAAAATCTAACTGTGATGTAATTATTGGAAACCACAACAGGTCGAAGTGGCCAGTGTAATCGGAACTGTTTCCTCCTTGTAGTGTTTTAAATTTTGTCATTCTGTTCTAACCTGTTTCCCTTTGATATTCTTACTCAAGTTTATAGTGAAAGAAAACAAAACTTTGCATCAAGTGTACTGCGCATTTTAGATTTTGATGCTGTGACCAACAGGAGGTTGTTAGTGAATATATATATATAAAGAGTGTGTATCTTAATTCAATTGTAAACCTTGTGAGAGAAGAGAAGCAAATGGAAAATTCTTTTGGACACTATTGGAAACAGAAAAGTGTTCAAGGAAAGTAAAATTAGAAATCTCACCCTTAATTTATCATCCCACTAAATGACTTACCAATACTAATGGCTATGAATTTAAAAAGGTTTGGAGAAGGAAGCTTCTTTGGAACCTTTAGCATCTCTTGACCCCCACATGCTTAGTCATCTTTGAGTCTTGAAATCTAATGTCTGCAAATTAAACAGGTAAACAGTAAAAAAATTGAGATGAAGCATCACTTCATCCTTAACCTCTGTTTAAGAAAAAGAGATTATGATTGTTATGCATTCACTTCTTTTTCATAGATGAGTCAGAAGAAATGCAGAAGGATTGTATTGTGAGGGAATGCAAACTGGAACTGCTGTTTCTAATTTCACAAGCTAAAGAGTAGTAAATAATGCACAAGTATCTGTAAAGCTCCATAGAGGTTTTCTTGGCCTGATGTGCATTTTTCTGTGAACTAAAGCTTCTAGTTACGAACTGCTGACAAGTTGATTACAAATAACTTGGCTGTTCCCTAAATACTTCAGTCTTTGTTCAAGTAGTTTGTTTCACTGTAGTAATAATCTACTCCATGCTCTTTAATTATTTCATCTATTTATGGTTTAAATTTTGTTTTGTGAGTAAGTCTGGGGAGAGCAGTATTAAAAAATTTCAGTAATGTTTTTCCTGCGAATTGTGAATATCACAGATCAATTTTTTTAAATCCTACATTTTACTGGATTAGTTTTCAAGTATGTTTTCTTCTACTAAGGTTTGCAAAAGACAGTGTTTTCCCTCTGGCATAACATACTATGAAAGGCAGCATTTTCCTTTTCTATATTATTTTTAAAAGTTCATCAGATTGTATTTTAACGATTTAATAGTCAATTTTTATTGGATTTTTTTCTCTCCACGTTTCAGCAAAGGTGTTTGGACAACAGATATGTTAATAGGTAGTGAGTTTCCAAATAGATTTTATTATTACCAAATTTTTCATGGATTATATAGGGGTGGCGGGTAGAAAGGAGAATCCTACTTTAAATACTTTGATTTTTCTTTGTTAGTGATTTGTGCTTTTAATCATTATTATTTTTTTATTTAAAGCAAACTTTTGGATCAAGTAATCTGCATATATGCTTTTAATCCACCTGAGTGCTCTTTGACACTTTGTTGCTTTGTAATTTCCATTTCATTGAATAGCATAGCATGATCCTTGATTCAGTCGAGTGGGAAAGTTTTATTTAAATGAAGATGTTTGGACTCATTCATTTCCATTTCATATTTGTTTTCAAAATTCAATTGCAAGCTGAAAGTTTACCTGTTCTCTTTAGTAAAATGTGCATCTAAAATCCAGGCAGATTAGACTGAACAATGTTGTTCTTACTTTGCTGCTGTTTGTCTTGCTCTCTTCCAGAATGAAGGTGCTCAGAAAAGGTTCAATACACCAGCCTGGTATTTTTCAGTCTTGTTAAATCTTAATCCTCAGTTTCCATTAAACAGTTGAGAAATTAGGCGTGTTAAACTTGAGGCTGACATTTCTCATATTAATTTTCATTTTGAAAACACTTTATTACCTGGTAGAATAAATGCAATATTTAAAGTTTAATAGAAATCTAGTTTGATATGGCCAAAATTATAATTTATTTAATTTATTATAAATTATTTATTTTCCTACTTAACTATAAATAATATTTCCTTCTACTTATTTTAAAACAACCCTCCAACAAACAGCAGAACAAAACCCCTTTAAAAAGTTTTGTTTTCCTGCAAAGCAATGTAACTAGTGTAGGAATTCTCAAACATTGGGAGACTTTTCAGTTTATAGCTGACTTATGATAGAGGTGATGAAATTGATTTAATTTTTAATATGCCCATTTATATTGAGTATGATCTATGGAAAATTAGGCAGTTAAATAAAGCTTGAATGGATTGACTGTTTTGTAGGTGAAATGTGAATGTTACATTTGTTCCCATGCTATGATGGAGTATTATTTGTAAAAGACCTGGGTCTGTTTTGGTCTCTTTGTTCACAGGGAATTAAGCAGAGGCAGAAAGTAAATACTGCAGAGCTCTTTCATTCACAACTTGCTTTTTTCTTTTGCTAAATAGGGTCTTCTATAGGGGAAAATTTGAATTTTTAATTAAAGATTAAATTGTGGTGTGTGTATATATATATATTTATATATTTTCATTTCTCACCATGTACAAATGGAAAATAGCTGACAGCTGAACTTTAGTTGGAGTCATAGGGTATGTTTTTGACAGGGATGTGGCTTCACTTAGGTATAACTTCATTTCTATTTCTGGATGTGCCCATAGTTGTACTGATGTTTTTAGAGTTTTGCAGGAAAAATTTTGTTTGAGAGATGGCAGTTAATAATTGAAATTCTTTGTTTTTCCTATGGTTAGTTGCACTACTTAAGACAAAGCAGGAGTGAAGTTCTTGAGTATCTCATGTAGCTTCTTTTCCATGTATGTGCACCATCCTCTTTTACCCTCCCTCATATACCAAAAACAAAGAAGATGTGGTGGCTGCAGATACTAGCTGTCCATAACTTCCAGGGCTTATGAGTATGATCTCTACACATAAGCATTTATTCTGCAATATGTTCTGTGTAGCATCATCTCCAGCCAGAACTAGGTCATTCATCTAATTCTGTGTTTAAATTGATGGAAAAATTTATACCAAGCTTTTATAGCCCAGATAAGTTAAAAGACCTGGTTTTTATGTCTCCATTAGTGATAAATTGTGAGATTTATCACTAATGTGTTTGCTGTTTTCTGCTACTATCACTTCTAATGCATCACATAATATTAATCATTCACAGTTTTAGAAGTTTAGACAAAAGCCTAAATGGAATACATTTAAAATAAATAATGCCAATTAATTATTGATTGATATTAAAAACTTGACACATTGTTTTGCAAAATGTAAATTAAAGTGTTGCCTTAAAAATTATATTAACTCAGATAAATATTAGAGCTTACGGTATAAAATGAAATGTAGAGGAGAAAATATTACATTTAACAGTGGTAACAGTGTATTCCCAGTCTAACAGATTAAAAGATGAACTGAATCATTCTTCTATGCATCCTTTCATTTACTGAGCTTCAGAATGTTTGGGAGTAAATAACTGTATAGCAGGAAATTTTTATCAGTAGTCCAAATGGTCTTTTGATGTAATGCTCTGTTATGGGAGATCAGAGTGAAAACAAAAGTACCTACAGATTACATGGAACATATAATTATGTCAAGTTGAATGGCCATGTGCTGCAGAAGCAACATCAGGATATGTTTTCAGAAATTAATTTAAAAAACGTATAGAAATCTCTGTTTATCTTACAAGCAAATAATGCTTACTGCCTGGCTAGTCACCTTAATTGGTGCTTCCAAAATGTTTTCTGTATGTAAAAAGGAAGAATAGCAGTAATGGGGAAATAAATTCAGAATTCTGCACATATGATAGCAAAGAGTGTAAAAGCTGAGTGAATCTGAGAATAGTTTTAGCAGCTTTACTCCAAAGTGATGAAACATTTTTGTGACTTTTGTTAATTTATTGATAAATAATGTTTGAATTATTTCTCATCATGTTAAGTACTAGGCTAAACTGAAGCAACTCACAGAATATGTTGTGCACAGTTGGATGATGTGATTTTTATGAATTCTAATTTTTTTTTCTCCCAGCAGTGATTAGTTTATTCTGCTCAGAGGAAATTCTGTTCCATCCTTATGATAGGATGATTCTGCAGCAAACCACAGTAGATTGAAAACAACACACTTGCTGAGGAAAAAACACATATCACAATTATCAACCTATTTAGCAATGTTAGATTAAAGCTACACTGAAATTTTGCATTGGGCAAGATTAATGCACATTCTTGTAAAAACAGGGCTTGACTAGAGCATCAGAGTTAACTGCTACTTGAGCTGATGTTTATGGTCAGTATATCTGGAGGGAAGAATATTATGAAATATATTTGTGTTTGGTGCAAAGAGCGTGCATCATCTTTCCATTGTTTTTTTGCATTAAAAAATACCTGTGTGAAAGTAGAACTTTTTATGAAACAACTTTGATATATTTATAAGCATAATGTGGTTTGGTTTTTTTTCCCATGTACACACACACATACACTATAATTACAGTGCCAGTTAAACGAGCTTTCTAAATTCTTAGTAGCATGGGCTGTGTTTTCAATAAAATGTTAGTTCCAATTCCTTTTTTAAGTAGTTTTTGTGCTACTCAACAAAACTGCAAAGGAAACATGTGGAGACTTAAATATGTTTTTTACCTGAAGTCCTTTATAGATGGGCTATAAAAGCACACTGTGTAACATAATAAATTGTATGGAAAGGAACCACATGTTTTCCTGGTGGAAAAAATGCATTTTAGTAATCTGTGTAGTATGTTTGTATCCATATGGCATATTTTTAATCCTGGTTACTTACCTAACCATTCTTTCAATTCCTGCGTAATATGTCAAATTTTTATACTTCAGTGAGGGCAACATCTTCTCTGGGAAGATTTCTTGCTGTTTAGGGTCAATAGGCTTAAAAAAGGTTAAAACTAGGAAGATGCTCCAGATCCACATTTCACTCTGTGGATTTTTATTTAGAGACGATGTAAAATAAAATGGTCCCTTGCCTTTGCCTCAGTAATTTCTAAAGCATGGAGACATATTTTTTTAAAAATTTCCTTTTCCCACCTGAATGCATGTAAATCACCTCTATGAAATGTGAGTCTCACAATAAGAGATCCAGAGATCCAGAAAACTGGGGGAAAAAAAAAATAACCAACCTCCCCTCCTGCTCCATAAAAATAGTTTCTTTGTGAGGTTTGTCTCCCTGAGGAACTTCCTGATACTTGGATACTCTGTCATGTGTAATTGGATTGTAGCTGTTTCTGAATACTGTTTTCTCCTCTTGACAGCATGGGGTAACCTTGGAAATGTTCTCAAGAGCCAGAGCAAGATTTCTGAAGCTGAAAGCGCCTATAGAAATGCCTTGTACTACCGCAGCAACATGGCTGATATGCTCTATAATTTGTGAGTATGTGCGCCTTTCCTGAGGTTGAATTGTCTTTGAAACCTGTTGTGAATGGAGCTATTGATTTACTTCCTGGAAAGGGAGACAATGTTATTTGTTGCTTTCTAACAGTCATTTCGTTAACTGTGCTCCTTAAACTATGGGTTGGACAAGGTTTTTTCTTGGTCAACATTATTGTAGTATTCATGTAATGGGTATGAAGAAGGTAAACTTATAGTCTGCTTTAAAAGAATTAAAAAACCCCCAACAAACCCACACTAAACAAAGTACCAATAGATGAGTTGTCAGCTGCAGCCCTCCATCTGTTTCTGACTCCACTAAATTGTAGAGGTGTTATTTAGACTTCTTTTTAAAGTCTGAATAACACTTGGTGGGAGGAGTGTATGTAAGCCCTTCCAAGCAAAGACCAATACCCCTCTGTTAGCTCCAGAGGTCTGAAATGTTAAAACAGCAAATTACTTTTCTCCTGTGTACTGACTTCAGAGTAGCATAGGTTAAACAAAGTTTAATTACTAGAACTCTGTTGTAAGTGTGTAAGCAGATAAATAACATGAGCATCAAAATAATTATACAGCAGGGAGAAAGATTTCCTAACTCATTAGTATACCAGATCATGAACATGGAAGTGAGTGTCATAATAAGCTTCTCACTGATGTGAGATCATGCTGTGTGCCCCAACAAGGAGGAGACTGATTCTCTGGCTGGATATCCCACCTGCTTCCTGCTCAGCTCTGCTTGTTGTGCTGGCGCTCACCCTTCCTTTCCTCCTGCCATGACCCAGCCAGCCCAAGCCCCCAGTGCTACAAGACAAGCTCGTCACCTCCGCTAGCCATATGCTCTTGATTCATGATGTGTGTGCAGGACAAAATCCAGGTGACTGCCATTCCATAGGTAGTAGTTTGAAAATATTGTCCTGAGTACAGTACAAAAGTGTGAATGTTAGATAATCAAAATGGCAAAACTAAATTCAAATAGTAAGGCTCATCAAATAAATAAACAAACAAACAAAAAAGTTTTGCCTATAGGTCCAGTATAAGAGGGCCACTTATCTGAAAATTAAGTTTACATAATTTTCTTATCTCTGTTAGGCAGGGAAGAGTACGCAAAGCATATTTTTAAGAAGAGACTCTTTTTGATTACGTTTAAAAAATAGCTTCTGAACGCAGCAGAACATTGTAGGAAATAAAGTGACAAGATTGATACTTGTACATTTCTCATATGCCATTCATTTTGGAAATGAAAATTATAACTATTAAAATCCTTTGAATACCTATATAGTACTTTTGTCTCTTACTCACTGTGTCATAGAGGGAAACTGAAATTAATACCAGGGTAAGAAGAGGAAAGGGAGTTGGACAGTAAAGACAGGGATTTAAAAAAAAAAAAAATCACATTTCAGTTGTTTTGCCATTCTCAGAATAAGCTGAATAAGTCTTCCAGGCTTCCACTGATATACAGAATATGTGCTTATAAACATTCATCTCTATTACCTTCATCTCTATTATATAGAGATATAGATATAATAGAAAATATTTTGAAATTCTACTGAATTTGTGTGGAAGAAATTTGACAAAAGTGCTGGTTGAAATATACAGGGCACAAAGTCACCTTAACTATACCTGTGAAAGTAAAGGCAGTTTAATTCTTAACCTAGGAAGGTTAAGAATTATATATTGAATGCCATAGAATCCTTTATTTTTTTAAAAAAAGTTTAATGAAACCATTCAACAGTAGTTGAAAGATCTTTCATACTTTTATTAGTTTTGTAGTCTTTCTCAGTGTTGGGTGCTTCAAGATCCACCATGAAAACTAGGTGGTAAATGGAGTTCTTTGAAATTACAAGACTACAGATGAATCAATTCTTTTAAGCACAATTACTCAAGAGCTCCTTTGCAAGTGAAGCCCATTCTTGGCATGTAGTTCTATGAGTGCCTTGTACAAAAGACCTCTGTAATAGAAAAATGTGTCTTATATGTGCTTACAAGAAGTCTGTTTTGCTGTTTCTGTTTTTCACTGTGTGCCTTTGAAACTGAAAGTAACTCAGTAGAAGTCTAGACAAAAAATATCCTTAAATTAATTTAGAAGCAATGTATGTGTCTCACGTTTGTTATTGTTTCTAAGCACTTACGCCTCAGTATTTGATACAAATTAATTGGCATATGCAACCCAGTGTTCACACACAGCCGCAACAAATCCAAGTGCTCTCTGACTGAGGAACAAATTAATAAGTTTTAACTCACAGTTTTAATGGGTAACAATCAAAGACAGAAACCATATAAACAGAAGCATTTGTTCTCTTTTCTTCTTTTTCAATAAACTGAAATGTGAGGTTGGCTTAGAAACTGGCTCTTAATACATTAAAATCTGAAGAATTTAATGGATTAGATGAATGGCAGATTTCAGTGGTATATTATTTTCTGACTGTTATACCTTATTGTTCTGAGTTACAGCTGCTTTTGCCATTTAGAACAATTTAAAATGCATTAATTTAGATTACGTAATTACATAATCTCCACTTGAAGGTTTGCCTGATTCTGCATATGTTATTTTCCAGTCTTCAAGTATGTCAATCCTGTAATATTAAATAAATTCTTAAACTTTTAGAGACCAGCACAATTTTTTTTTAAATTTATTATTTGGTTTTATTTAAAAAGAAAGGAGGAGACTGAAGAAATTGCAAAACCTGAGTTTAGGCTATGGACTTGAATTGTTGTTTGGAAGCTTATTTTCTGAAAATCTCATGAAAAACTGAAAGGGTAGATAGCTGGCAACTCTGAAAGCATTTGAGATTTTGATAGCAGTTTCAGGGCAGAAGGGATTGCAATTGTTGGTTTATACTTTAATGAAGAATGTATAACAATATGCCTTTAATGAGGTACCTTCAAGAATACATTTAAAGTGTCCTCCTATAAATAACTTCTCTGACATCTTTAGACTGCACTGCAGGTAATTTTTACAAACAAATCTCCAAGCCAACTTCTTAAAGGTATGCAGCACTGCTGATTCCAGCTAGATTTCATAGGGTAGTAAATCAGCATGAATGGAGCTATCTTTTTTTTTTTTTTTTTGAGTCAGAAAGCCATGTATTTTAATACTGTGAAGTACCAAGGACAGAGCTGTCAAAAAATGATAGTTTATTCTTCCAAACAAGGGAATGTTCAGTAGATTAAAAACAAACTAATTTACTTTGTTTTGGCTTTTCAGTCTTTGTTGCCCTATGATTGTTACCTAAAGCTCATGGGGTTATTTTTATTGTCTGAAATTGCTTCTAATTCATGTTTAAAGTAAAACTGCTTAACAGGTAAAAGAGAGTTTTGCATACATTATTTCACTTGTATTTAGGCCTGGCTGCTTACAGTATTCTTTTGTCATCCATATTAATATTTTACATTACCTTCAGTTTCTCAGCTGATTATAAGGATGTTCTCAATCTGACAGAAATATAGAATATTCTTTTAAAATTATACTAATTACTTGAAATGTTGTGTTGTTTGAGTATACAATACCCTATAACGCTGAATTTCTACCAAAGAACCATCCCCTTGCTCCTCTTCTGAAATATCTCATTTTGCCTTTAGTGATACAGGGCTGTGTATACAAGATCATCATTGAAATAAGTTAATTTCTTTGAATAAGGTTGTATTATGAATTTTCATAAAATTTACACAAGAAAACTTAGGGTATTATATTAATAAATGTGTATGGTTTTAGGTTTCTGTTAGGTAAAGTCTCCCATAGTGGCTGAAATTTTTATCCTATGAAGTCTAGGATTGCAGAAGTGGTTTACGTGCAAAGTTTAACTTTGCATCCTTGGGTCAAAATCAATATAAGCGAAGTTCTTCCTTGCCTGTTGTTGTTAGCCTGTTTAACATCTGAAAATGTGTTCCCTGCCTTTTAAGGCTTCTGGTGTAAAAACCTCCTTATCGGATACAAAAAGCACTAAAAGCAGGCTGACCTACAAACCTGTGTTGAACTGTTGTTGAACCTGCCCCAGACAAAATTCCTGCAGCAGCCATGAAGTAGAAAACAAGTCAAGGTTATGGTTCCTCTTCCTTCATAGCCCAGAAGTTTTTATCATTCAGGATGTCGAGTTAAAAAGCAAAGAGGATGTGTCATCTGGTGTCTGTCCAAGTACTTGGTTATTGTTTTTCTCAACCGTGAATGCAAACTTGTTACAAACCTCTGCTTTTCCAGCTAGTTCTTTGTCTATCAAAGACAGAGGCTAAAATTTGTGTCCTGCTGTAACTATGCCTTGATAAAATGTTGCTGTGTTGTGAGTGACTGGTGGTATCCTACAGTGTAGAACTCTGCTCTGGGACATTTTGTAGGGCCTATATGAAGTACACATATTTTTCAAAGTAATCTTGAGGGGTGAAAGGCATTCATGACCTAGCTATTCCATTACACGTCCCAATATTTGAAATTGTGTAATTTATAGTCCTTACATAAACTTTCATCATTTTATAAAATTAGGAAAATAATTGTTTGAGTCTGCCATTCAGTTTCAAAAAAGACTCCTCTTGTAAGAAGTTCTGTCCAGCTCTCTATCTATGTTGACTACTGGGGCACATGAGGAGGAATAAAAACCTGATTTGAGGACTGCAGACATGGCACAGCCCTGCCCATTGTCCAGAGGAGTGAGAAGGACAGGAGCAGTGCTATTTCCTATCCCCACACCAACCCTCTCTCTGTCAAGGAAATAGGGGTTGTGAGAGTCGATGTGGTGCTGAATGTGTAGTAATCCCAATCAAACTGCACCAGTAACAGAAAAAAGAACAGGACAATATTTGCTGACCAATTTGCTTATGTTTGGGAAGCTCTTCTCTAGATCTAAAAGAACGTGGCAGAGGTTTACTCTGCTATCTGAAAGACTAGAGATTGTTTTGGGGGTGATTGTTTTGTTTTGTTTTGTTTTTCTAAACTAATGGGGCTATAGATTACTGTGCTTAGTGAGTTCCACAAAGGGAATGTTTCTTACTGAATAAAAAGGTAGGATTTA